CTTGGGGTGAACATGCTGGAGGTCATTGAAACGAGCGCTGCACCCGACTTGGAACCGGGCGAAACCCAGGATGAACGCGTCCAGTGCCTCGTGTCTGCCCTGCGTACCGGGGCCGGTGGCACCCTGGTGATCGTAGCCAGCCCCTTCCTCCAGAGCCCATATGACCTCTTTGCTGGGGACCACCGCCTTGCGCTGAGGCCGGGTGACCGTGTCCGTGAGCGCCTCTTCCAACGAGCTCTTCTTGGACTTGAGGCGATGGAGCTCGTCTATCTTCAGCATACCGAAGGTCTTGGAAAACCATTTGAGGGTGTTCCACACCTGCCGTAGCTTGTATGGGGTGACCTCCTCTTCGGCGAGCTGGTTGAGGAGAGAGCGGACATGTCGTTCCTGCCATGGAATCACCGTGAAGCCTCTCTTCCGGAGGCTCTCGTAGACCAGGCAATGTTGCCTGAGTGTCCGGAACCTATTGTTTTGTCAGGAGGTCCAATGCCTCCTTGCGGAAGTCCTCCCCCAGGATGTCCTGCATGTACGCGATGTGCTCCGCAAACGGGGCGAAGTGGGCGAGGAGCCGTTCCGCCCATTTCCCGCACATATGGAGTTCCATCGCTCGCTGGGTCGTGGGCTCCATTTCCCTTATTTTGCCCGGGCGCCAGTGCCTCCACTTCAGAAGCTCCGGTTGTTGGAGTGGGGGTGGGTCATCTCGTGAGAACCACCTCCATTGGTCCTGGCGGTCCCATTCATTCTCCAGCGGGGAAAAGTCTTCGCTCGGCTTGCCATCCGCCGCCGCCAGGAGGAGGAACCATAGGCTGTCCCACAGGTCGGCCAGGTCCGCCGCGGACAGAGGCTGGGGAAGCCTGCCTGCCGCCCATGCCACCAGGCCGTTGAAGTAGTCCGTCAGAACCACTTGGTCGTCTTGTCCTACCGGAATGCCCGAGAGTTCCAGGAGCTGAGAGAAGCGGGCCGGCTCACCGCCCAGCTTCCTCCCCTCCTCCTCCGTGCCTTGGCGCAGGCACATCAGGACCAACAGCTCCCCGTCCGTCTGTCTGGGGAGAAGGACTCATCCGCCAATGTGTCCCATAGGACCCTTGGAATGCGGTCCCAAAGACGTGTGTAAGGCGGGCGCAAAAGAAACTTGGTAGATACCCTAGCCATGATGAAAAAGGGGGGGGGGGTTCGAGCCTCCTATCGAACTGCCGGGACCCAACCGCGGCACAATGCATGCATGCTCCAAACTCGCAGACTGCAGAGTGCACATGGAGCAGGCAGGCCACACGCATCCCGACAGGTCACCCTCAAAGTCCCGAGAATTCAACCGGGGGGGGAGCGACCCAAAATCAACCCCCCAGAAACCCCCCAAAGGCACGAGGGGGGAGACCGACCCGGCGGGGGGCTCCCCAAAAACCCCAAGGGGACCTCAAGGAACCAAGAGTCAGCCGCAGCCACTTTTTCCGAACCGTGGCTGAGATGGCCCGTCCTTGGGGCAGCCAATGCATGTGGCCTGATGATCGTGGAGATCAAGCTGCCGTGACGTGTCGAATAAGAGAGGAAAACAGTGGTGAAAAACGAACCCAATGAGGAAAAACCCATTCCCTTGCCCCCCCGGAGACGGGGCCGAAGGCACCCAAGTCCCGGCGGGAAGAAAGCACACGATTCCCACATCCGACAGGGTTGTGAGACAAAACCTAGCGGCTCCCTCCCTTCAGAGTGGATTGCCGCCAGCCCGGACTTCTCCGGGTTGCTCAAGATGACCGACCACAGGGCAGTGGAGACATCCCCCAGGCCGTTCGAGGAGCTGAAGCGCATGCGGGGGGTGCTCGCGTCGCCCAGGACCAAACGCTCATCCCTGGGCGGCTCCGTGGGCTCCACTCTCTTGTAGAACTCCATCCGGTCACGGATCCACTGATTGTACAGCTGCTCCGGGGGCTCGCCCATCACCAGCTGCAAGCAGGTGGCTTTGTCTTTGTGCCACCCCGTGATCTGGAGCAGTCTGGTCCCCCCGCGGCTCGCCTTCCAGAAGCCCTTGCAAAATCTGCACATATAGCCCCCCATAATCTTGAACTTTTCCTTGCTCACCACTTCCCAGGCACTGATGCTTGGCAAGACCAAGCCGCACTCCACGGAGGCCCAAAACACATGCTTCGTCTCCTTGGGGAAGTGCTTGTTGATGTACTTTCGGCCCGCAACCGCCGTGACCGTGGCCGTGATGGGCGGGTACCGCCTGGTGCCCTGGTCTGGTGTGCGGAGCGTGGTGTCTGCCCCCCCCATGACCTTGGCCTTGGGGTCCGCCTCCTGGGCCGCTCCCCCCCCGGGGCCAAGCACCCAAGGGGGGGGAGCAACCCAGCTGCCGGATGAGGTCCTGGGAGTAGCCCAACCTGTCATACAAAGCCCCCGCCGCCTCCCCACGTCGCAGCGCCAGTTGACCTTCACCTCCACCATCGACGACTTGCTCAGGCCCGCCACCAACTTGGTGTAGACCGAGTCGAAGGCCTTCAGCGCGGCCAGCGGGAGGGCCCTCCTTACTGTCATGGATGGGGGCCACCGGCATTTCCATCACGGGCAACGGGCAGTTGACGATGAAATTCTTTGCCGCCAGAAATGTCCCCATCTCCTTGAAAATGTAGCTCCACTCCTCCTTGTTGCGCGGCTTGGGGATGCCCAGGCTCTCCAGGAAGGGCACCGCCTCCTTCCTCATCTGGAGGATGTTACCCATCCACTTGTCCGAGGTCGAGCCCCCCGCATTGCGGCCCCGGCGTTGCGTCTTCACAATCAACGGGAAAGTGGTCCAGGCCGAGTAGATGTACTTGAATGTGAACCTGTGGGCGTACACTCCCGTCAGGCTCGGCAGGTCCCACGTCCTCGTCTGTCTGGTCCAGAACACCCCATCCCCTTTCGCCCAGAAGATACCAACCACCTGCTCCGGCGCCGGGCGCTCACCCCGGTTCACCTCCTGCTCGCACGTGAGTGGGTGAGTCCTGCGCTCAAGGGCCAGGAGCTCCTCCGGCGTGAGCTTAAACTGCTGGTCAGCGCCCCGTTCTTCCAAATCCCCCCAAACATCCGGAGCTCTCCCTGGTGCCGCTTCATTGCCCAGAGGATAAGGGACAGCTTGCCATCCTCAGAGTCCAGGTCCTGATTGGCTGGTCCGTCCCGGGGCCAGTGGCACCCTTGGGGGGGGCCGGTGCCACCAGATCGGGCATCTCCTCCAGCAGTGCCTCCTGGTGCCACGGGTTCTGCGACGCTCTGAGCATCCTGATGTAGGGGACATACTTCTCCTTGATGTCCCCCACCTGGGGGATGTCCTCGGGGTCATCCAGCTCCAGGGGGCAGAATAGGCCCCTCTCCAGGGCCTGCCTGAGACCATCCGGCCATGCCGACACTTCCAAGGGCTTGAGAGTGTGGTTGCATCCATGCCTGGTTGGTGTCCTGGGTTCGCTTGTTTGCCGCCTGAGCCTCCTGAATGGAGCCCATCGCCTCAGCCAATGCCTGGCTGGCGTCAACGCCCTTCCCCTCCAAGTACTGGTCCTGAGGGCACGGGCTCCCTCATTGGCCTCCTCTGACGGCAGGGCCTGCATGCCCTCCTGGAGAGGCGCCAGGATAGCCATCTCATTGTCCAGCATCTCCTCTTTCGGACCGCAAGGCCTTATGCAGCTCCTCCTTCTTCCTGATCGCCTGGTCCACCTGGGGGTGGTAGAGCTGGAAGCTCTGAGCCTCCGCCTCCTTCAGGGACCGCTGCACGGATGCCGGATGTCCACCCGCCTGTTTAGCGGGACCGCATCTGCCATGGTGATCTCAGGAGGGGCTCTCCCCAAGACCGTGCCGTCCACCAAGTTGCGGTCGGCCTGTGCCCGGGTACCACCGGGGCCAACGGCACCCAGGCTTCCCCATTCCCGCTGCTGGATCCAGGTCGGCTTGCCCTCCACGATGAGCAGGTTGTAGGTGATGCCGTCCGCCTCATAGGTGGCCGAGGGTGCCTGAAAGGGGGCGAACTCCTTGCCGGGACCCAGCACTGCTTGGCTGCCTCTGGCCACCCCGTGCCGCATGCCTTGCACATGAACTTGTAATCGGAATGGCCTGCATCGAGCCTGTGCATGCGCTGGGTGCCGATACACGCCTTGTTCCTCTGGAACTGCGAAGCCCAGACTTCCTCCTGGCGGAGCTGGATCTTCATCGGGACATACGCCTCCAGGATGCGAATCACCAGGTCCTCGGTGAGATTCTTCCCGACAAACTTGTGGAACAGGGAGACCGCCTCCTCCACCGAGATGTCTCTCAGCAAGGAGGCCGCCGACGCTGGAAGGACTGGAAATAGGTCTGGGAGGTCCACCAGCTTGAAGTACCCGGGTTTCCCGTCCACCGGCACCAAGGAGACCGGTTTGTTGGTCTGAGACGTAGCCTTCTGAGAAGCCGCCACGAAGCCCTTCAGTCTCTTCGTGGGTGGCGTCTGCGCCTCCTCCGGTGGTGTGGCCCGCTCCGTGCCGTCCGCATCTTCCATGTCCTTGTCGCCCTCCTCGGCGGGGCCAGGGGCACCCGAGCCGGAAGTCGGTGTGGCAAATGCCACTCGGAGACGCTCCAGTGCACTGGAGAGGTCCTTCATCACATCGGTCGCCGAAGATGACGGGGAAACCAAGCCGGCCGCCACTGCCGCCTCCCGTGTGCGAATGTCCTGCGCCTCCTGGCTGGCCATTTCAACCTCCTCCACGGTGAGTGTCTGGTCCTCAATCAACTCAAAGGAAGTTGCCGAGGTTGCCGAGGAAGCCATTGCTTGGTCGGGGTGAAGTTCGAAAGTGCCAAAGATCAAAGTTTTTCAAACAGCTTGGGTTCCAGGAACCCAGATCAATGCTTGAGCCAAAATGGCACATGCCATTGTGGTCAAGCATTCCACACACAGTTCATGTTTCCACATGCGTTTCAACATTAACAAAACTAACCAAAGATGCTTCAAATGGCACTACCAGACTCCGATTTCTTCACCCCCCAAAGCACCCTGGCACTGAGGGGGGCACCATCGAAGCCGCCACATATGTACAGTTTACCCGCCATAACCACCTCGGGCACAAGCCATGCACACAGCACGCCGATTCGTTCGCTGGGCTCAAGGGCTGCGATGGCACGTCTTCGACGCTCTCGCATCTGTGGCAGGCCTAGAGCGAAGGCAAAGGCGACCCCTTCCCTCAAACACGGCACGAAGCTTCATGGGAACAACCCCCCCACATGTGGTGCGGGCGGACAAATTGCTGTATCTATGGACATTGGTAAATTAGAGGCTCCTAGAGTGTCCGTGGCTTCGGATTTGCCGAGTCTCCACGTACTTCTGACCCATTAGGACCCAAGTCCCACTGGGCCACCCCGCAGGACCAGCGCCCGACTGAGGGATCGAAGCACTCCACGGAGCTGAGACTGGCCATGCGAGCGTATTCGCGTCAAATTCAAAACAAAACGGACGTGCACAACAAGCAAGTCGCGTGCATCGAGATCGCACCGGCCTCTCAACACCATCAAAGCCGCCACAAACATAGAGTCGGCCCCGCAGCGTCGCCACAGCCGGATGGCTCCGCCTGCAAAAGTCCCTTATAAAATGCTTCTCTTTTCTCCGGGACTCCGGGCCTTTCCAGCATGGGCGGGATTTGCTCCCAGCAGGCTGTTGCGATGTTGTAGCCTTCGGCTTGCATGAGCGTCAGCACAAGCGCCAACCTTTTCCAGCGCTAGTTCTAGGCTCGCAGCGCTCCACCTGGCTTAGGCGGTGCCTGAGAGAATCTCGGCGCTGCGAAGCCAAGCCAAGCTCCGTGCAGGCCAGTTGCTCGCCGTCCCAGCCGCCGCAGACGTACAGCTTCCCTGCCAAGACGTCAGCTGCCACCTGTCCCAAATTTCATGGATTCCAACGCGAGGCGCCTGAGGCAGTGACAACTGCTCGTCGATCGGACATGGGAGGCAGTGGCTCCCAGCAATCCACAGCCGGGGCCTCACTCAAACTGTCAAGTGGGATGAAAAGTTGGTGCCTAGAAACTCTTGGGAGTGGACAAGCCGTTCGATGGACTGCAAGCGCCGCTGTCCATCCTTAACGCGCGTGGCTAAAATGGAATGCCTCACGCAGCTTGCGCACTGTGGCCCGGGCATAGCCGCCGTGGACATAGATGTAACCGGGGTAGAGGGCCCGCAGCGCTGGCAACCTTGGCCGGGCACCAGCCACATCATCTCCGCAAGGCGAGCCTCAAGGCCGCGGCACCCCCGTCGAGGGATGCCGTGTGGCCTGACGTACCAGTGCTTTTGTCAGCCCTTCGCAGGAGGCCCCTGCCTGGCTGCAGGCTGAAAGGGCCAAGACCTCCGAGAAACATCGGCTTTGGGAAAGAAGGAGAAACGCGAAAAACCCAAAACGGCCGCTTGCCCAGCACGCGGGTTTCGTGAGCGCGCCTCCACCATGCCAGTGTGGACGCCGATGCCCAAGGCCAAGCCACCGCTGGTCAGGACGTCCGCCTCCGAAAGAGCGCATCCACATCATCGGAAAAGCGACTGAAATGTTCCTCTTGAGTCATTGAGACGCACACACGTTCACAGGTGCGCGCCAGCTGAGCGGATGCTTGCCAGGGGTGGGCAGCCCTGGCGCGCTCGAAGCGGCGCCGGTGCAGCTTCGCAAGGAAGCGCGCCTCAAATTTGTCAGAACAACACGGCGTGCACATTGCTCACACCTCCATCTTCGTTTGGAACCCATATGGCCATGGGTCAAAATCCCATAACCCCAGTGAACATCCCAATCCCCACTAAATTGGACTAAAATGGGTGGTGCACCTACCCCAAAATGGTACCATTGGCTTTGACCCACAGCCATCTACAGTATCCAGCGAGAACCTCGTGGCTCGCTGCCTCCATCCCCAGACTCGTAAACTGAAGCCGTTTTGGCTCGCCACCCGATCTCTCAGCGCTCTTTTTCGTCCGCAGGTCAGCCTGTGGTAGCCAGGCCTAGCACGATCCAACTGCAGGTCTCCTCTTCAAAGCTCCCATTTCAGCACTGGAAATCGGTACCCCACAAGAATGACCGTCCTTTTAAGTCCCCTTTGCAAACCACCCCAGGGGGTAAATTCCTGTTGAACACGACATGAGCCACAATCAAAATATGGTATTAAATTAATCTTCCCAAATCCATGTGAGGAAACCAAAAACAGCCGGCCGCAGCGATTTCCGGCTGGGACTGCCCTTACCAACCTTCACCTACCCGGGTTTTGAGTGTGGCTATATAACATGGGGCGTTTCACCCACCGTTGGGGGCGTTCCCGTGGAACCCCAAGCCACGCCTCGATCTGCTCCAGCAGGTCTGAAGGTCCGTGGCCCTCAGCCACCGCGCGCGCCGTGTCCAGGCACCAGCGGCTCACTGTGCTGTCGTCCAGCTCCATGAACCAGCCTCGGAAAATATGGCTGAACATCCAAACAGGTGGCAAATGGATGTTCATCCACCCCAAAATAGAGCCATGGGTTATGCCCCATGGCCATGTCAATGAGCCCGCGCCCGCCAAGAAAGGAACCCCGTCAACCCTATCTGTAGGCCTTCTTGTTTCGTCCTCAGCACTTTCTTTCTCTGCCGGGCATGCAAGGGTCCAGTGCACGTGCTGACGGGTGCCGCCAACCAAAGGCTGGGGAACTGGAGAAGCCCCCGGGGCCCCGGCACATGCAGTACTTTGGCTTCATGGGCACAATCAGCCCCGACTCCACGCGCGACGCCGCTTGCTGCAGCTCCTGACATCTCTCGAAAGGCCTGCGTCAAACGCCTCCGCCCCATCCGGCGTTCGCAAGGCGGATGCCTGCCTGTTGCCCCTACAGTAACCCTTCATGCACCTTTCTCTCCCCCCCCTGTCCCCCCCCTATCTCTGTGTCAACCCCCCGCAAACCGCCGCACCCTTTTTTTTTGCCTTCGGCAGAGTCTCACTTCCCTCACGCGCTGGCCACCTCCAGGAAGTCCTTCAGGTCCTCGTCGCGGTCGGACAGCGTTCGGGAGTCCAGGAGCTCCTGGGAGGCTTCGAGTCCTCTTCACGGGCCTTGTGAGGTCCCCAAACATTCTGCTTCACGTGGCTCAATATGGCTCAATCCCTTATAATACGCAACACAGCGCAATATAGCTCAAGCCCTGAAAAACACATTTGGCAGCCCCGGCACAATCATGAAAAGGCTGAAAAACTGAATCTTGCCATTGGTAAGACAAACTCTCTAGCCTTTGTGACATCAACTTCGCAGGTTTGCCGCTTGGTTCTTCAATAGCGACACATCTTTAACAATACCGCGAACAAGCGCCAAAAAGAACTGAACATCTCGCAGTCGCCCTGACTGAAACATGTCCTTGACCCGGAAACCCAAGTTGGCAAAGCGCAGGTATCAACAATCAGTTGTTCCAACCACCGCACACAAGCAACGTTTTTCAATCAACGAACAGGAGGTTTCTCCATCGCCTGGTTCAGCGTCAATACGTCGGCCGTGGAGACCTGGTCCCTTTCCAGCAGTGCGCCGATGGTGGAGATGCTGCAGTTCACCTCACTCGGAGTCGAAATGGTTCCAAGCAAAACAAGAAACAAGAACAAACACGAAGCTGCCTCCAGGGCGGAGTCCAACAGGTAGCCGTTGCTGGGGCACTCGTCTACCTGCTTCGAGATCTCTGCCGAGATGTTGATGGGACCTCTTCGGATGGCCTCAAAAAAAGTTCTCAGCTCGGCTCCATCAGCACTTGCGCTCAACGCGCCTCAGTGACGTCCAAATCTTTGAGCGCATGGTACCGGATCTCCTCCCAGGCAAATTCGCTTGGCGATTCGCAGCTTACGTGGAAACTCTGTCCTGCAAGGAGAGCGGCTTTCCATCGTAAGCGCTGCGGCAGGGGTTCTTTCCAGGCTTCACCTTGTCAAGCACCTGGCGAGTGAGGAATGAGGGGGAGCACTGAAAGAGGGGGGAAGAAAGAGGGGGATAGAGGAAAAGAAATAGAGAGCGAGAGAGAGAGCGAGAGAGTGAGAGAAAAAAGGAGAGAGAAAGGAGAGAGAAAAGAGAGAGAAGAGAGAGTGAGCGAGAGAGATTGGTACAGGATTTGGGGGGAACGACAGTAACCACTATAGCGTGCATTGAAGATACATGCGCACAATTTCAGCAATGGAAACACAAGTGCGCAGCCCAGGACTCCTGGACACGCAAGGGCAGAATGAGAAAGAGAAAGAGAGATAGGAAGAGGAAAAGAGATGAAAAGAGAGCGAGAGAGAGAGAGAGGGAGCCAGAGAGACAGAGACAGAGACAGTGAGAGTGGGAGAGAATGTGCCTGGTTTGTTCCTGCCCGGCCTCTTTGCCGGCCACTCTCAAAGTGAGAACCTCCACCGCACCATCAGAGTTGTCGAAGTCTGTCTGATTGAGCCAAAGTTGAAGGGTGCACCTGCCATGGACTCAACGCCCAAGCTTGGGAGTGAGCTCTCACTCGCATCCAATTCAAGTCCGCGCCTGTCAATTGACACCAAGCTCCTGTTGAAGTCAAGGATCGCAGTCGTCTTGCAGCCCTTCTCAGCGCAGCGCATGACTCCCACGGTGCTCAGGGACGAGCTCCGTGGGGACACGAGCTCTGTCGACCCCGTCGCCACGGCGCCGGCAGCTCCGGCGGCTCCGGCGGCTCCCGCAGCTCCGGCAGCTGCGGCGCCCTTGTAGAACGGCAGCTGGTCGGACACCCCCACCGGAGCGGCAGGGGCCGTGCGCTCGCTCATGTTGTAGAAAGAGTCGTAGCCCGGCATGTCGCGAATGCTTCGGTTGGGGTGATCCTCCAGCCACTTGACGACAAAATCCGGGTATAGCTTTGGGGATGCAGCTTCAAGCCAATGTGTACTGGTAGATGTAGTTGTTGTTGTGGTCAGGTCAGCCAGCTTGCCTACATGACATGCCACCTTGGTGACGCCATGAAGCAGGTTGCCCTTGTAGGGGCACTCATCCACATTTTTTGGAATCTCTGCACTGACAATGACCTTGCCCCCGCTGCTTAGAATGGTGCTCACCGGCTCGTTGTCTATGCATGGGTAAAGCATCTCACGCGCTACCTTGGACACACAGCCGTTCACGGCAGGATAGCAGTCATGCCCCATTGCACGACCATTCGCCAGGAAATTCATGACACGCTCCCCAGCGAAGTTGTCGTCAAAGTCTGTCGCATGAACTGCCAAGCTCAAGTTGCAGCCAAAAGCATACTCCTGCACAAAAGGTTGACTCCTGTCTGCCGAAAACTCTTGTGTAAAAAGCGGTAGCATGAGTTTGCTTTCTCGGGCCCTTAATGCTTTCGCCACCACAGGCTTTGCTTTCGCTGGCTTCGTTTCCTTTGGAGTTTCTTTCGCTGCTTTCGCATCGCACTGCGTGAACCACATCCTCAGGAATGTATGGATTCGCGGGGCTTTCGCGGGAACTTCTTTGGGCACTATTGCGGAAAGCTTTCGAGGCCTGCGTTTTGGCTCAAGCGCGGGGGCGCTGTAGGGACAACCCCCTGTACGACTTTTCATTCGCAAGGTTTCTGGAATCTTGCTCACGCTGCCCCGCCTCCTTGGGGTCGTACAGCTGCAGGGCGATGCTTGCCGCGCATCCCGGGTGTGCGCAAGTGAGATTCCCTCTCACCTCCCGCTGGATGCGGACAGGCTTGGCCACCAGGGACGGCGTGGCCGCCTGTTCCGCCTTGCGTGCAATGGGCATGCGCAAATGCGGCAAGGGAATTCTGTCACATGGGCCCCAAAAACCAGGGTTCACACACCATTAGCCTAAGGCGAATCAAAAAGCCTTTGCTTATCTCGCCTGGGGCGGGAAAGTCTGCGTGGCCTCCTTTTTGATCTCTGGCTTGGAGGCCGTCACATGTGTGTCATTCACTCTCCGCAGCGTGAAGGGCGCGCGAGGCTTGGGGGCAAGCGGCTCCTCGTCAGCCTGGCACAGTCGACATGGGTGCTGAAGGGCAAAAAGGGAATAACATCACTATCATCATCCTCCCCTCCTCCTCCTCCTCCTCCTCCTCCTCCTCTGCCTCCTCCTCCTCCTCCTCCTCCTCTTCCATTTCAGCATTATCATCCCCTCCTCCTCCTCATTCTTGCTATCATCGTTGGTATCGTTTCTATGTGACGGCCGAATTTGGTGCTATCAAAACCCCTGCAAATCTGCGAAGGCCTCCACGCCCGTGCCCAGCGAACGGAACCAGGCCGCGCTGTGGGGGCCAGAAGAGTGGCTCCTCGCGCGGCAAACTGGTGACTTCCCGTGACTTCCCGCCCTCTTTGGGGAAATCGTGCTTGCTTGGGGAGAGGAAAGCCACCGGGAAAAAACGATTTTGAGAGGTGCTCCCCCAATTTCGAGCATCTGAGAAACTCGCAGGTCCTTCGGAGTTGGCCTTCGTGCAAGGCCCGCTGCACAGATGCGCCCAGCAAATGTGGCAGCACGAGGAAGAGCGCCCAGGCCATGGGTTGTCACCTGCCGGGCAAAAAAAAAACACGTCGCGTCGCCGCCGCGGTCCGGCCTGGGAGGTTCGCTACCAGTTAGGAAACCATTTCGAGCCAAAACTCGAGGCTGCCACGTGATGATTGAACAAAAAGTGACGGCCCAAGGTTGACACTCCAGAAGATTCAGTCATCCAGAAACTGTCGGATTGATTGTCCAATATTGTGCCCATCCC